TACTAAATTTATCCAATTTGGACCACTGAGTCATGAGATATTAATATTTTTATAAAAAAATTAGGTTATTTTTCTTCGACCTCCCCTCTAATTTAGCAAAAAACATAAAAAAATGTTATTTTTGTGAAACCCTCCCTCCTTGTATAATATTATTTATGGATGCTCCCTTACTAATATTTCTTCATATCTAAGTAAAACTTCAAGTATTATAAACTATTTCAATTTAATAATATTATATAGTAAAGTTATATATTTTAAACTCTTTTCTCAAGCAAGCTAATTATGTTTTTGTGAGCTAATTAGAATCTTTAACATATATATTTATTATATATTACTATTTTTTTAGCTTAAAATTCATCTCTAAGTGAAGTATACCTGAGTAGAATGAAACTTAGAGATATCCAAGATACTTAATACTTCGTTTACAAAGAGTCTTTTATAATATTATAAACAAGTGTTATATTTTTTTAAAAAAAATTTACTAAGTTAGGGGTAAAAGTACTCTAAAGTATATAAATTAAATTGAATAAAATTAACCAATCATAAGAAAATTAGCCTATAGGATTGGATCCACAAGTTTTAAGATTTATTAAATTCGGATCCACATAAAGATCTGATCTATTATATATAAAAATATTTAAATCTGAGCTGGATCTGAGAATCTGTCTATTTAAACATGGATCTGGATTCATACTTGGGCCTGATCTGAATTTTCAGATCAAATCCAGATCCTTAAAATTATTGATCCGTGCAGAACATTATCCCAAATATGAAATAATGATCCTGATTAAAATTGTAAATCTTTATTATACGAAAAGTATTACATGCTAATTAGTCAATAAAATTTTAATTTTATAAAATGAAAAAGAATGAAATTTAATTAAAATTTATAGTTAAAGTTCAAAGTAAATACCGCCAAATGTTATTATTAGATAAGCAAGTATATATTGATTAATTTAAATCGAGATTATTAATTTTTCAATAGTATTTGTTTCTATTTATTTACAAAATCTCAATTATTTTTATATATCTACTCAGATTTCTAAGATCTTATACTATACTATCTTACTTTACACAACTAATATCTAATAAAAAACCATTACGCTTTTAATATACATTATGCATATATCTATATAAACTTTTCATTGTATCTTAAAAGCCTCTATAATAATACTATTAATAAATTGTATAGTTAATTAATATTATTTGTATAAATTTTCACTTTTCTAAAAGATTTCTATGCAAAATGTATAATAAAAAAAATACAAACTAATTTCTTCCTTCTATACTACTATCTTTATTCATTATTTTACATTTTTTTGCTCAACAATTGAGATTTCTCCAATATAGTGATTGTTAATCACTTATAATTTTAGTAGGTGAAATATAATATAAAGGATGAAAGATTCAACCAAGTTTACTTAGAATACTTGGCCTGCTTTAAAGATAAGATAATCTACCCAGCTTTGAAAAAAGTATTGTAACAAAAAAAACTTTAAATTAATTGAATTGCTTGTATAATGATCTGTAAACTTGAGATACTAATCTATTCTTAAAAATATCTGCCTGGTCTGATTTATGCTATATATACACACACATGTTCATAGAGCACTTGCACATAGTGTAAAAGTACTATATTATATTTCACATTATTATAATATTTATTATGGCATTAGGGCAGTATCATTTATCACCTGATTTTTTTTTATCAGAGGCTTACCCCTCCCTCTTCTTACTATATATCTTGATCAGGTCTTTATATATAATTTTAAATTTTTTACCTCCTCCCCCTCTAAAAAATCACCTGATTTTTGTCACGTCCTTTATGTATTATGGCATATAATATTTACAAAAATCAAATACTGTGCCGTAATTAATTCTACCAACTGTAATGCCGTAATTCAGTAATTCTACCACCAACTATACCCTGCTATTAATAATAATTTGATCTTTCTTTTTGATTTCTTCAATAACTTTTGTTATTTTATTTTTAAGATTTATATTCTCTTTGTTACTTAGTTCTAGTTTCTTAATTTTAATCTTATACTTAGCTTCATGTTTGGTATTTTCTTCTATAGCCTATTTCAATCTTGTATTTCGAACTTGATAGATATTCTCTCTTCTAAGCTTATCAATCTTGGCTATAAGCCTGGAATTCAATTCTCTCAATAAATCATTTTTATACTATATGTTTAATATCAATTTATATAATTTTATCAGCTCTGCTAGTGCAACTAAAAAATGTTTGGAGGAATATTGAATATATTTTGAAAATATTTTTAAGGATCTGTAAGTTTGGTATAGCTATCTTTACCGTATTTAAATTTTATTATGTAATTATATAATTGTTTTTTATGCAATGTGACTGTGTTTTTACCATAGGTGAAAAATTTTTAACTAAATTTCATGTGTTGTGCTATAATTTTGCAGAGATTAGCAATGAAAATTTCCTTGCAAAACTCAAGAAAGAAATTTTACTTGTCATTTTTGTATTAATAATAGATACTAGATGCAATGTATTGCAATTGCAATTGCAATTGCAATTGCAATAGCAATAGCAATAGCAATAGTGATAGCAATAGCGAGAGTGATAGTGATAAATAGCTACAAAATGCTAGGTTCAGAGGTTCGAGAGTGAAAAAATTATTAAAAAGTAACTAAATTAAGATATCATTTTTTCATTTTTATGGCTGCCTATGTCTGCATTTATGGCCAAATTATTATATTTTTTACTTTTATATTTTTTTTTTCGAATTTATTGCCGGTTTGATAAATTAATAATCACTGATTGTTAAAGACTAAACGAAGAACATAATGAAAAAATTCGTTCACTAGCTAGTATTTGATATCGATTTTTTTTTTTCTACAGTAATAATAACCAGTAATAACCAGTAACTGATAATAATAATAACCAATAAAAAAAAGATAAAATAATATGACTTGATTAAATTATTAATTGTTACTTGATTAAGACAAAAGATTACGTCGTGTAATATAATTGTGATAAATAAGAATCGATTGATCGCTTATGTATTTAGCGATAATCTTGTAATTACAAGGATAAAATTCGGTTCTAATTCTTTGATGAACATTTATTTGGCCAATTACTAGTTATTTAATTATATTAATAATAATCACAGAATCGATTTTCTCTTATTTAATTAAGCATATCGTACAATATCTCTGTAATATATACTATTTTATACTAAATTCGAATTAGCATTATTGTGCTTATGTATATCTGGTTTTATGCCCGTTTAATTTAAAATTTTGAATTGTGACACTTATTGTATTGATGCAATGATTTAATACAATATATGCTAATTACGCTCTTATATCTCTCAATAAATAAATAAAGATAATAAAGTAAGAAACTAATTATTATTTGATACAATATGACAACTAACAGTATTAATAGAAAGATCAGATGCCAGATATGAAATTAAGAACTTCTTTAATGGTTTAGCAATAAAAAAACTCTCTTTAGTAATTTAATAAAAAATCAAATTGGCCTGTTGATTGAATTACTGACTAGATTCTTTATCAAATTTGTTAATTAATAAAAAAGCTATAATGATAAGTTTCTAGAGAATCGTTGATAATGCATCAAGCTTCATATGTATTTATTTGATCAGATATTAAAAATAAATTAACTTCTACGTTATATATAAACGGATAAATAAATAATAATAACAAAAAAAAAGAAGTCATTTGTTATCATTCAAAAATAATCGACAATAGTAAAGCTATTCTTGTCCTTTCTTTTTTTTTCTTTTATTTTTATTTAATTAATTAATAATTGAATAATCGAAAAAAATTGCAATTACGCGCAATACCGGGTATTATTACAGTTCTATATTATATTACCGAATATTGCTATAATATTGCCAGAAATTTTTAGATCATTGATGCTTCAGAGATTATGAATTCTTGAAGTCTGGATTCGTCTCAAAAAGTCTTTTTAAAAGGATTTTATCTACAAGGTTTATCTGAAGAGTTTATTTAACCTTACCACATTTGAAGAAGGAGATATAATTCTTGTAACAGGTAAATTCTGAATTGTTGAGTGTACAAATAAAGATGATGAAAAAATCCTGTCCTGAAAGTAAGTTCAGAATATCTCTGTACATTAAATTTAAGTAATACTATTTTTTTTTTTATTAATAAATAAAAATAAAGAAAGAAATAGTCTACAAAAATAGCATTCTAATATTTTTTATTACTGATTATTAAGATGATTGATGGTGATAATGAATTTTATATTATTATAGTGCTTTTCAATTACTGTGACCAGCAAATTCACACATCACACTGGAAATCAAGAATCTAGAAAAAATGCCAATCTATGATTGGTTAAAAAATTATTAGAATAATTTTAGCCAATTATAGATTGGTATTTTTTCTTGATTTCTGATTTCTGATATGATACATAGAACTTGCTGATCACAGTAATTTGAAAAGCACTGTAAATAAATATATTATCTCTATTAATCATTTTAATAATCAGTAATAAAAAACAATCGGAATGCTGTTCCGTTAATTTCATCAAAAATTACTCTACCGACAACTTAGTTCACCAATAGTTAATTTATGGATAAGCTTATTTTACTGACAATTAATTTACAGACAAGTTCATTTCACTGACAAGTTATTTTACCTTAGCTCATTTCATCAAGTTTTTTTTATAAATTGTACTAATCTTAACACTCATTCTAAATCTGATCCCAACAACAATGATTAGAATTACTTAATTGTCAGTGAAATAAACTTATCTGTGAATTAATTGTCAGTAAAATAAACTTGTCCATAAATTAACTGTTGGTAAACTAAATTGTCGGTGGAGTGATTTTTGATGAAATAATTCAGATCTTTTTCAATAGACCATCTCCTGAATATTTACTTAAATATACTATAAAAATAAAAATTAGATTATTTTGAACAATCTTGTAAAAATTAACATAAATCCAAGTGACATTCCAAAGTTTCTGGTCTTGATCAATATGACTATAACTATACGAAAACCTCCAAGTATTAAAGATGATGATACTATTATGGTTGTTGTGCTTACTAATCATGTAGATCAAGATACATGTATCACTGAGATAAATTATCACTATTTAGCATCAGCACTACATCTGACCTGTCTAACTCTGGCTATAAAAAAAATTTAATCCTTTTTATCAGTAGAAAATTTATTTTGCACAATAATAAAAATTATGTTTATATCAATAGTATGTCTTTTTTTAACTAACAAAAACCGCTATTGAATTCTGTAAACATTCTCTGGAAAACTGAAACTTCGAATGAAGCAAGTAAATCTATAAGCATTGCTGAAAAAATAGCCGCAAGAGTTGATGCAGGTACTAAAAAGAAAGATTCGCTATCTGTGAGCCAAACTTCAACCATCATTGAACCTCCTGTTGCCAAAAATACCAA